TTTGGTTTTCTACAAGATAACCAGTCAATCTCTGTTGCAGACAACCCTGAGTTACTGCCCGTCCCATTACAAGTTTTGTGGAAAATTCTGCTGTTTTATTGTCTAAAGTTTTTATTATGGAAATTTTCAAGTGCACAAAAATAGAGAAAAGAGTATAATGAATTTCTACCTGTCAGTCACTCAATTCAACAGCTAGCAACATTTGCATCCTTGTTGCATCTATCTACCCCCTTTTAAAAAGTAAGTTCCAGACTTCAATTTATTTTCCACCCATAAATAGTTTAGTATGCATCTCTACTTGATAAGGACTTTTAAAAAACTTTTTTCTTTTGAAATCATTGTAGGCTCACAGGAAGTTGCCAAAATAGTACGTAGAGTCCCACATACCCTTCTTCCCCAAAATGGGGACATAATTGCCGTAGGACAACATCAAAACCAGGAAGTGGACATTAGTACAATACTAGTAACTAGATGATAGACACTATTCAGTTTTCACTGTTTTTGCATATGTGTGTTCTATATGATTTTATCACCTGTAGACCCATGTAGCCACCACCACCATCAGGATACACAGAATCTCACCACCCGGAGGGAGCTCCCTATGTTCCTTCCCTCTTTGTATTTGTGACACCTTTGCTGTTCTCTGCCAGGTACTCATCTGTTCTCCATCCTTATAGATTTGTCATTTTGAGGATGTTATATAATGGAGACTAGGCAGTAAGTGACCTTTTGGGATTGGCTGTTTTCAGTAAACACCATGTCCTGAGCTCCATCTGGATTGCTCCCTGTATCGATCCTTTTTTAAAAAAAATTTTTTAAAATATGTTTTTATTGATTTCAGAGAGACAGAGGGAGAGGGAAAGAGCTAGAAACATCAGTGATGAGAGAGTCATTGATCGGCTGCCTCCTGCACGCCCCCCACTGGGAATCGAGCCCGCAACCCGGACATGTCCCCTGACTGGGAATTGACGGTGACCTCCTGGTTCATGGGTTGACGCTCATCCACTGAGCCACACTGGCCAGGCTAGTTGTTGTTCTTGTTGCTGAGAAGTATTCCATGGTCTGGACACACCAGTGCTTAACCTTTCACCTGTGGAAGCCATTTGTATTGCTTCTAGGTTTTGGTTATAACAAATACAGCTGCTGTGAACATTGGTGTACAGGTTTTTGTGTGAACATAACTTTTCATTTCCCTAGGATAAATGTCTAAGAGTGATTACTGGGTTGCGCATGTTAGTTTTATAGGAAACAGCTTTTTATAACAGACTGTTTTCCAGAGTGGCTCTACCATTTTGTATTCCCACTGGCAATGTATGTGAGCTCGTTTCTCAACATCTTCGCCCGCATTTGGTGTTGTCATTATCTTTTATTTATGTGTGTAATGATAAGTCATTGTGGTTTTAGTTTGCATTTCCCTAATGGCTAGTGATGTGAAACAGCTATTTATGTATTTATTGGCCATGCATCCTCTTCACTGAAATGTTTATTCATGTCTTTTGCCCGTCTTCTAATTTGATGGATGCTTTTTCTTTTATTATTGAACTTTGACTACTTTTTTTTTAAATTAATTTAAAATTTTTTTTTAGAGAGAGAGGAAGGGAGAAGGAGATAGAGATAGAAACATCGATGAGAGAGAACTATCGATCGGCTGCCTCCTGCAAACCCCCTACTGGGGATCGAGCCTGCAACCTGGGCATGTGCCCTGACAGGGAATTAAACCTGCGACTTCTTGGTTTCTGGGTCGACTCTCAATCACTGAGCACCAGCTGGGCCTGCTTACTTGTGAGACCTGGGCAGGCAAGACATCTTTCCCAGTAGGTGCCTGTTCTGAGTGTAAAAGGATAGGACCTCAGGGTCCATCCGCCCACTCCCAGCAGATGCACACTGTGAACAGTTTGTGAAGTCTAGCACTGCGTGCTGTCCTGGGTCCAGGAAGCAGGGCGAGTTCTGGGAGATAGCCTGTGAGGAGCCGCCGTCACCTGCTTGTCCTGGCTGCCCGGGGCCATGTGTCTGTGAGTCAGATTATTGTTTCAAGTATTTGGGGAGATATTATGAAAACCCTCGAACCATTTGGTGCTACCCCAGGCGGCTGCAAAACCAGATTCCACATGATTCTTCTCATCTCTCAGTTGGAGAAAATATTACTTACTTCAAAGTTGCTGTGAGACAAAACTAGAGATAATGTTTGGGGAAATGATTTGTAAACCACAGGGTGTGGCTCCACAACATGGCAGGCACCGGTCAGGCCACAGAAACTTCCCATCAACGTGGCCTCCCCTCCCTGTGGGGCCTGAGTCCCTCCCACCCCTTCCTGTGAGGACAGTCTCCCAGCTGTGGTAGGACAGGCGCAACCCTGTCTGGTAGGAGGTTCTGGAGTGGAGGGCAGGTCATCCAGGGCTCATCCAGGCCTGGTAGGGAGACAGTGTGTTTATAGGATCTGAGTTTGAGCCCTGGCTCTGATTTTGGGGCAAGTCACCCACCCTCTCTGAGCATGTGAACTTGGTGACCTACATGAGGAAAGTGAGAGAACTCAGTGTCACTCTGGGGTTAAGAGAGAGGCTCTTGAGTGTGAATGACAAAGCCCAGGAAGAAGCTGGGCTTGGAGCCTGCTGGTGTCCCCTCCTCTGGGCAGGGTCAGAGCTCAGCAGTTGGCCGGGGAGACTATGCAGGGGCCTCGCAGCACTGCCTTTAGAGCAGAATAGCCTTTGACACTCTTGCTCAGAAGGTGAGGATTTAGGCATCTTTGTACTTCTTCTGCCGCTGCCCCCCCCCATTTTTGATTCCCCTTGTTTGTTCATTTAATTTGGGATGATAGACTAAGATGATGATTTAAACCCAAGTCTCCTTTTTTAGGAAATATTTCTCGCACTGGTTTTTGATTTTGCAGCCATTCTTAGGCTATTCTTAGACTTTTCGCTGTGTCGCTGTGCCACCAGTCTTTATATAGATACCGTCTCCATTTTTGGTTTCTAATCTAGATACATCTCTTGGTCTGTATGTTAGAGATCATTTATTTTTATAGGAAAGTAGAGATTTGTAAAGGGCTCTCCTAGGGTGGAATTTACAGCTAAGAGCATGTGTGGTGTAGATGGTGGCAGAAGATGCTGCAGACATTGGAGAGGGCAGTGGCCAAGCTGGGAAGCGTGGGGAGACGGTGGGCGAGACAGTGGGAGACATCATTGGGTCAGGCTATGGGCCCAGGTGCACCCCAGGAAGGCCCAGGGAAACCTCCCGTTGGTGTCAGTATGTTCTTGCTGAGAATATCAGCTTAGACTTAAAATTTGTTAGAGATCAGGTGGACTGCCTTCGGGGTTCACGCTGAGATTGATTGGGTTTTAGGGTTTGGCCATTTTCTGGGTCAGGCAGCAGAGTCCCCAGAGGGGACACAGGGCTGGTTGGTCAGGGACCTGGGACTTGAGTTCCAGCTAGGGCTCTTTCCAGTGTCCACACTCTCCGTTTTGCATCCATTTCAGCTGTGGTCAGAGGGTTCTCTGGTGGCATTGCAGGTTATTTCCAGAGGCTGTGATTCCAGCAGTTAGTCTTCCAGGGCGTCTGCTGCATGGAGATTCCGAAACCCCAGGGTGGTGTTTACCTGCCTGTCAACAGGTGGCAGCACTGAAGGGGATGCCTTTTCAGGCCCTGGGTGCAGGAGCACAGGAGTGGGCAGCCCTCCCAGGAGCATTCCAGCTCTTTGAAAGTGGTTCCAGCCTCCAGCCAGCATCGGTCCCTGTTTGTTAAATTGGAAGGAGAAACCTAACAGCTCTTTCTTGGGTGACATCCAGTTTACTTTTTACTTATTTATTTGGTACCACGGGTGCTGAAGTTGCCACTAGGAAGCGCTGGGTGACATGAGAGCCTGCCTGGGTAACTGCATAGGACCCTGGAATGCCATCCTCTGTCCTACCTACCTGCCCCATCTGGGTGGGAAAGTAATCTTTCCCATCCAGAATCTTCCTTTATGTTAATTTCTTCAACTCCGTTCTTTGCTTCTCTGTGAAGTACCTCACATTCCTTTTGAAATAAGGAATGAAAATCAGTAGATAATAAAGTAAATATTATAAATGCCCTCGGTGCTGAGCTTGGTGCTGGAGATTCAAACATGGAAGGAAGTAAGGTCTTACGTCAAAGCGTGGACAATCTCAGGAGGCTAAACGTGTGTGCCACGAAGAGCGATGCATGACACAGATTAAAAGGTAGGCAGCTTGGCCTGGCAGGTGTGGCTCAGTTGGTTGAGCATCGTCCCATGCACCAAGAGGTGGCCGGTTCGATTCCTGGTCAGGGCACATGCCCGGGTTTTAGGCTCAATCCCCAGAAGGGGTTGTGCAGGAGGCAGCCGATCAATGTTTCAGTCTCTCTCTCCCTCTCCCTTCCTCTCTCTCTCTCAAATCAATAAAAACGTTTTAAAAAAGAGAGAGAGAGTGCTCTGGAGAAAAATAAAGCAAGGAAAGGGGCCAGAAGCACCTGGGGTGGAGGAGGGGTTGCCATATTGTGGAGACCTAAGAAGTGCTGGGCAGAGACAGGCATGTGCAGGCCTGCAGCAGGAGCAGGCGTGGCACATGCAGGGTAACAAGAGGCCCTCGTGACTGGAGTAGAGGATCGAGGTGGGAATTGTAGGAGACGAGATTCATTCAGAGCTATGGAGGGTGGTCTTATGGGCTGTGGTAGGGATGGCAGCTTCTACTCTGAAGGAGATTGCAGTTTTTAGAGAGTTTGAGCAGAGAAGGGGCTGGTCTGGCTGACATCTTCGAAGGCTTGCACAGCTGCTGTGTGGAGACTGGATAGCAGGGATGAGGGCTGAAGCAGAGAGACTGGCCGGGAGCCTGTTCCATTAATTCGGGAGAGACACAGCAAGGCTGGGACCAGTGTGATGACTGGGGCCAGGGTAACATATGGTCAGAGTCTGGGCACGTTTGGAAGGTGGACGTAGAAACCTGGGAGATTCTTTCCAACACTGCCACTTGCACCTGGAGGAGGCTAACATTGTGATTTCCTCTCTCTAGGCCAGCACGTCGCTTACTCCCAGGGTTTCTCTCAGGGAGCCCCCTGCTGCCGGGTACCATGACGGTGAGGGGGGCCGCACTGGCCCCGGATCCAATGTCTCCCACGACTGTAGCAGCCTCGCCCAGTGTCTCCGAGATCCCTGAGGGCAGCCCCACAGCCATGGAACAGCCTGTGTTCCTGATGACAACTGCAGCTCAGGCCATCTCCGGTTTCTTTGTTTGGACAGCTCTGCTCATCACCTGCCACCAGGTACCTCGGCCTGTCAGGAGTCCCTGAGCCCGAAGGCCCTTTAGAAGGATCCTGAGAGGTTTCTAGTTCAATAAGGTTTAGTTAGGCTAGGGCAGGCAATGCTAGCAGTAAATAAACCATAATCTCCAGAGTTGTACCTGGTAGAAGTTGATCTTGCTCACACCCTAGCCCAGTGCAGTTCAGGTTCCATTCTGTGGCTTCAGCATCTTGCAGCTTCAGGGCATCATCCTTCTGACCACTGGAAGGAGGGACGTGTGGGCAGGCACTCTGGATATTTTACCTTTCTAGATCCAGAAGTGACACTCATCTCTTCTGCTCACTGTCCCTGGGCTAGAACCAGTCATGTGTCCAGCCTAAGCTGCAGGGAGCCCGGCAACTGTGCCTGGCACGTGGATGTCATTGACCCTTTTGCAGATGAGAAAACTGAGACCAGAGAGGGGAGGCAAGGGCACTAGCCTATTTACTTACAGGTTGGTGGCAGAGCTGGGGTAGAAGTCAAGTATCTTGTCCCCCTGTGCTCACAGGCCCAGAGGAGCCTGGCGTAGGCTGAGACATACCTTGGCTGTGTAAGGAAGGAGAGGTTTGAAGGTTACCAGCATAGATGGGAAGCTGAGCCCATTTGGGTCTCCTTTCAGCTCCTCGCCTGCCTCCCTGTGTTCCCCATCCCTCCTAGAACCCAGTTGCTTCCAAGGCAGTTGGCTCATTGCAGACAGGGAATATTTTGCTCTTTTCCTCTTGAGCCCAGGCCTTGTCTGAGCCAAGTAGGAAGCCATGAGAGCTGGGGCGGAAGACTCGGCCGCTGGAACGAGGATCCCGGTAGAGCAGTTTTTGGCATTATGTGTAGCTTTTATTTTGCCCCGACTTTCCAAAAGCTGCATTTAATTCTCCCAACTGCCCAGTGAGGCAGGAGTGCTGCCTCCATTCCACAGCTGGGAAGGTAAGACACAGGGCAAGGACATCCCTGCAGCTGCTCAGCCAGGACGCTTCTACCCTCCGAGGAAGTGAGGGTCCCACCTGTCCCGCCCTCCACACCATGCGTTGGTTAAGGGATGAGGCGGGGTGGGCGCCCACCCACACGCCCATGTTTTAGCTCCACGGCCCAGGGATCAGATGTTAGGAAGGTGGGGGGTGGGGACACACTGAAAGCCTCCTTGCACCACACAAACCTGGCTGTGCATGTGGGTCCCCAGAGTACTCGTTACAGCTGGATTCCCCGGCTTTGATTTAGATAGTCTTGAGTGTGTCTCATGTTCCCGTGAGGCCGGCCTTGGCACCACTGCCCACACCCCACAAGCTTTCTGCACCCCGTGGTCTGATGCTCACAGCAGCTTCACACCAGAAGTTTATCACCCCATTTTACAGAGGAGGCTGAGGCTCAGGGTTGAGTAACTTGGTCACAGAACTAATAAGTGGCGGGGCTAGATGTCCCCTCGGCCTGCCTCCTCCTCGGTGGAGCAGAGGGGCGGGAGGCGCGCTGCTGGGACAGTCAGGATGGTCGGGTCTCTGGCTGACACTGCCCCTCTGCCCCCAGATCTACATGCACCTGCGCTGCTACAGCTGCCCCAATGAGCAGCGCTACATTGTGCGCATCCTCTTCATCGTGCCCATCTACGCCTTCGACTCCTGGCTCAGCCTCCTCTTCTTCACCAACGACCAGTACTACGTGTACTTCGGCACCGTGCGTGACTGCTACGAGGGTGAGGATGTGTGGGCGGGCCGCAGGGCGGGCTGGGCCAGCTGGGCAGCGCACCTGCTCCTGCCCGGTGTGGGAGCCACAGGCCCCTCTCCCTGGTTCCTCCTCGAGGGGCCACCCCTCACTTCTTCACCCACCTCAGCGTTTCCATCCAGGCCAGATCGACAGGTAATAGCACAGGTGTAGCCAGAGTCCCACCTTACAGATGATCTTTGCAATGTGGCTCCCAGAGCACCGTCACAGATACCTGGAAGCAGGGGCTCTCCACCTGTGCCTCATTTATCAGTTCTGATGTCTCAGATGGGGTGCGCAGGCAGCAAATAAGTGGTCTGTTTGTAACAGAAACTCCAGGTACCAATGAGTCAGGGTTTATATTGGGGTCTGTGGCCTGGTGCTGCCGGGCTGGGCCTCCCTCCCCACGTGTCTTAATTCTGAGGGCTTTGTCCCAGGAGGAACTCTACTGTGCCACCCAAGAAGGTGACTTACTGCCTTTTGGAGACCTCTGTTCTTACATGTGATGTGTGATGTAGAAGCAGCATCTGCTGTGGTACTGAGCTCCATGCACGGGCCAGATCCAGTGCTGGGTGCTCGGTTGCAAAGAGGAAAGCCAACCCTTACCCTGCCTGTCCTTGGGAATCTGTGCCACCTAAACAATCACCGCAGGGGACAAGCACGTGCTCTCACCAGGGCCCAGTGGTCGTGTCCTGGGGAGGGCAGGAAGCTGAGACTTAGAGAATGAGCTGATGTGTGTCAGAGGGAGGCTGAGGAGAACCCATCCTGGGCTGAGAGGAGGGCTACATCTCGGGGGAGGGAGGAGTCTCAGTATGTCCAGCTGGGGGTGTAGGAGCTGTGTGGGGCCTATAGCTGGAGGGGGGATTGCACTGGGAGGCACAGACAGGGACATACATAGCCTTGCAGGCCATACAGAGAAATTTAGATCTTTTTTCTAACTGTTTGTTGATGCATAAAAATAGGAAGTGATGGGAAATTGCAGGTTACAGAAATCTCCTTGTGGACTGTGGGTGAAGGAGGAAGAGGCCCCAGGACAAGTCACAGGCCATCAGTGTTGGACTCAAGATCCCCTCTCTGATGCTGGCCCTCCTCTCCTGGTTGTGTGTTTTCCCGTCTCCTCCTGTACCTGCACTGCTGGTTTCCTGTAGGGTGACTTGACATGGTTTTCCTTGTGCTATGACCAGGCAGCTCAGAACATGACATGACCTGTTGTCTGCTTCCCTGACCCAGGAGGGCTTTGTCCTTGGCCCTGGACTTCATGGATATTGGCATGTATGCTCATTCCCCCGAGAAACTGGAGTCTCTTTTTCTGTCCCAGTATGAACCTGTGTATCCCTGAGAACTCATGGGCCACAGGAAATGCCTTTGGATTTGGTGAGGAAATTCAGGTGCCTAACACAGTGCACACCACCTGCCCCTTCAGCCACACTGGCCTCTTTTCTGGCTGGGCACATTGGGTGGTTGCCCAGTACCCTCAAAGCTCTTCTGTGGCTGGCTCCTCCTCCATCTTGACTCCGGTGTCCCCTCAGAGAGGCCTTCCCTGTTGCTCCCACTCCCAGCACCCTGTCTGTGTCCTCGGGACCTCATTGTGGTTTGTAGTTCTGGGCGTGCCTGGTTTCTTCTACCTTCCTGAGTAGCCCCTTCACTCCATGAGCGCCAGTGCCGACAGAGCCGGGCACTATAGGCGCTCGCTTATTCTGGATTTTTTGAATGAAGAAGGGCTGCTATGTAATACCTGCTGCATGCCCTGTGTTCATCCACATGGGGCCTTGTTCAGTTCCCTGGCCGGTGTCCCTGCCCAGCTCTGCCAGGTGAGGATGCTGAGGCCAGGTGGGGCTCTAAGTGCCTGATGTTCCTGGAAGCAGCAGAGTCCCCAGGGAAACCTCTAGGTAACTGGGGAGCCACAAAGGCTGGGGTTGGAGAAGATGAGGCCAAGAATCCTTTTCCATTCAGCTGCTAGCCTTGCATGGGTGCCCGGGAGCAGCCTCTGCTTGCTTGTTCATTCAGAATCAGAGCTGTCCCCTGCCAAGGGGGCCCTGAAGACTGGGGTGCATGTCAGAGGGGGGCACAGCCAGGAAGCCTTCACATCATCCTCACTCCGTGGCCCAGAGGTGGCAGCAGATGCTTGGCTACCCCTCCCACTCCAGAAGCCTCTTTATTCAGGCCTGGCCTGTCCAGACCTTCCTCCCAGCCCTATAAAGGTCCTCGCAGGAAGTCTGCATCTCCTAGCAACACTATTGTCCCCTGGGCTCCTCCCAGGCAGTATACAAACAGGACAGCAGCTGCCCTGGAGTACCGGCTGCCAGAGTTCACAAGCCCATGGTGTCTGAGCTGGTGGCCTTGGCCCTTGCCTTGCCCTTTCCTGTGCCTCTGCTCAGTGTCTTGAACCCTCTCCCATTGTTCTTGTATCCACAAGTGCTGCCACTGTCCTCGGAACCTGCCCCTGTAGCAGGCTTGCTAATGGGGTGTCCCTTAAAGTTCAAAAAGAGCCCCCATTCAGTCCACCCTTTCTTCCCTGTCTCCCGAGACCTGGGAAGGGGCGGGAATGGATAGACTGGGCTGCGGAACTACTTCAAATTAGTCAGGCTCTCTGCTGGCCATTAGGCAGACATTTGCTTTTCTTTTTAACAAAATTAAAACAACTAACATTTTACTTTGATTAAAGTCATATGTGCATATGGCTGAAACAGGATGCCCCAACTCCTTGCTCCCGAGTTCACTGCACTTTCAACTCTTTTTTTTTAAATCAGGAAAATGCTCTAACGAACAGAGCTACCCGGCCAGGGCCACTTTCAACTCTTTAAGTGTTTTTTGCCCTAGAATAACCCAAAAATGTGCTTATACTGTTGTGTCAATTTTTCAGTTTTATGTAGTGTTACGTGGTGACTTTCTCCTCTGGAAGGCTTTTGATTTAGGTACTTACTGCCAACTGCACACACCCACACAAGGTTTCTTTCCTTCAACTTTTTAACGTGACTGTACACAATTTTTTCCAAGTCTGCATTTCGTGTTTGTGTTATTACGTGTCTGTAAATATTGTTCAAGGCTGAGCCTTCTGGTGTCTCGAGATGACATTTTCTTGTACAGCTTTGCTTTTCCTCTGCTTACTGCTTGTCTTGCTTTTGGGTTTACTGTTTTCTATGTCTCTGTCATTAATTTGTTCCCAAATGCTTCACTGAACAAAGAGAAAGTTCTCTCTGAAGTGAGACATACCAGTTAATCTATTAGCTCTGGGATTTCCCTCGGTGGTAGTCCTCCTGGAGCCCTGCCCTTCGCTCTCTGCTCAGCTCTCATCCTGGGTCTTTCCTCCACTGTCATCCTGGGAATCCTGGTCCCCTCTCCTGTGCCGAACCACCTGTTCCCTGGATGCCATTTTCCCCTCGTTCGTGATTTTCCCTCTCCTTTGGTTAGAGCATGCCTTCCAAGGGCTTCCTGAGAAAAGGGGTGCATGGAAGTTCTATTTTTTGAAATCTGAAAATTGTCTGCACATATAGATCATGTTGTTCTATCTGATTAGTTTCAGTGGGGATATGATTCTAAAGTTGGAAATCATTTTCCCTCTGAATTTTGAAGGCACGTCTTTCACTGTCTTTTAGCTGGAATTCCAATGTTGTTTTTGGAAAGTCTGCTGGATTCTGATTCTTTTTTTAAGATTGATTTTAGAGAGAGGGAGAGACATCAATTTGTTGTTCTACTTATTTATGTGTCATTGCGTCGTAACCATCTGAGTTACTCAGCCAGGGCTAGAATCTGATTCTTAATGTCTGTATGTGACCTGCCTTTCCCCCTGCTTTCAGGACCTTTATTCCCAGTATTCTGAAATCTCACAAGGGGCCGGATATTTATTTGCAGGGCACCTGGTGGGCCCTTCACTGTGAAAACTCATGTCCTGAGTTCTGGGAAATGTTCTCATATGTTCTCTTGCTAATTTCTTTCCCTCTAGTTTATTCCTCCTTTCTGGAATTCCTCTTAGTAGGATGTTGCACTTCTGGATTAACCTTCAAGTTTTCTTTATAATTTTCCGCTCTTTTGTTCTATTTCCCAGGAGGTTTTTTGTTGTTTTTTAAAATATTTACCTTTGAGCTTTTCTATGGAAGGTTTTTTGTTTTCTTTATCATGTTGTAAAACATCAGGCTCTCTTTCCTGCTCTTTTTTTAATAGCCCCTTGTGCTTGGTATTGGAGAGAGTATCTCCCCTTCTGTGGGATGCTAATTGCAGTTTTCTTCTGTTTCCTGCATTATCTCTGTCTCCTGACTTCCGTGTTTGTTTGCTTTGGTCCTTGACCTTTGTGTTAGAAGCTCTCCTCAAATGTCTGGTTTCCTTAGCTATTCTTTATATTTAAGAATGGGGCTTACACTGCCAGGCCTCCTAGTTGGGTGACAGGACACAGGGCGTTTCCTGTGCAGTGGTGGGGACAGGCACTAATGAAGATTTTTTTATTCTGGGCCTGTTTCCCCAGAGAATAATGTTCTCATCTCCTGCCTGGGTGGTAAAAGCTGGGCAGGCTGAGTTAAGGGTACAGTTGAGGGCAAGGACCTGGATATCTTGCCCTTCGCATTCAGACCTCGTCTCTCTCATTTTTGCAAGTCTCCTCATTACTGCCCTCAGCTGAGCCAAGTTCTCTAAGGACAGAGCTGTCTTGACCTGTCTGGAAAATAAAAGTCCAACAGCTCTGCGTGGAGACTTGTAGCCACGTTTTCCATTTGCACCCTCACCCACAGCTATCAGAAGTGCCTGTTGCATCCAGCTCTAGGGTTCTGAGGTTCTCACTGGCTGGGTGCCTCTCCTCCAGGTCAGTGACCACGCTGCATCTCCCAGAGCTTTTCTTAGCATTGCTTGTCGGCTGCCCCCAGCACCATCTCCTGTCCTTTTCCCCCAGTCATTCTCACCTTGGTGGCATTCTGGGGGGAGAGTGGAGATAAACAGCTTGAATTGGTGGTAATATTGCCATTTTCCAAGGAGAGGGCCAAGTCTCTGAGAAGTAAACGGCTT